AATCCTTCATTAAATGAGTAAGTGGATGTACATGTGCTGCAGTGCATTCCCAGCCTCTGTTTCCTTAAATCCCTCAATTAAATCTGCATTAAGTGTTCATTGAGTTGAACTGGAGCTATATAACATTGTGTTCTCCCTCTCCATCACCGTCAGCTCTGGATTCAGAGGACTGTGTGTTGAGGCCCCTTTGCACTCCATGCTTACTTAATGGCCAGATAGCATGATCCTCAATAAAACCAGTGAGTTGTTGTACTAAAATGCATAACCTGAGTGTTTCACAGCTGCCTTTTTGAGATGAAAATGTTCTCAGCATTTGTTGTACTTTATTTCACGTGTATAAAAGATTAAATAATGAAAAAGTTAATTTTTCTTGACAAAAGTCAAAACTTGGAAATAATTCAGCAAATTTCTAAGCTATGGTAAGAGGTGACCAAAAAAAAAAAAAAAAAAATCAGAGTAACTCCTTGGTTATCAAAGTGTCTGCAACCGCAGGTACCTGGTGTCTCCATGGTAACCTCTGCTGTACACGCTGATCAATGTTGGCATTCCTCACAAGTTCAAATAATCACTTTGGGGTGCAGCTCAGGATTGCACTGGACGGTCGGCTCACGCAACAAAAACCACCTCTTTGTTACCCTCCATTGTAAGGTGTCAGCACCACTGGTATTGATTCAGCAACATTTAACAGCACAAACATGCAGCTGCGTTGTGCTTCCTGCAGGTCAGTGTTACTCTGTGCTTGGCTAACAGTTCTGCTGCTGACCCTTCGTCTCTGAGCTCGCTGCTTTCTGCGTGTCCTCTGTGGTTAGCTGGGCCGTCTCCTTGTGGCTGTGGGGATGGCTATGCCGCTTCACCTCGACAACAAACCATGTATTATCTTCTACACATCACTGCAACATGCCGAGTCCGTGGAGTCAAGCATAAACACAGTTTTCCTGATACAAAAAAAGAGACCGTTTTTACTCGTTACACACTCTGGCTAGCTAAGACTAAGGCAAGCGATTTTTAATGAGTAAACATTTCCTCTTGCATCCCTTCAAAAAAAAAAAAAAAAAAAAAAAAAAAACCCCAAAGGTTACATAGGCTTACTGCTTGCAAGGGCATGATATTCATGTTTAAAACCGTCGTCATGATTGTAGTTGTAACAAAATGATTATATCAGGTTTTATATAGTTTTCGTAAATTAACTACTGCAAATAATGGAAACATAATAATGCACAATTAATCACTTGGCAGGTGTGTTACTGTTATTTTGATTCACATTTCTACGAATCCAACAGGCAAATCACGCGTCATGAATTTAAATATACATATAATTGGCACGTCAGGTGCTGTTTTTTTTTTTTTTTTTGACTGGGACATGAGTGGAGAAACCAACTGAGAAATAGTTTAACCATTGGAAATGTTGAGTATGAGACAGGATGAGCTTTTAAATCTTTTCAAAGGCGATACTTGGCAGCGAGGACCCCACTGTGACAGATGGCAGAGGGAGGTGGGGGAATAGAGGAGTACGGCAGATCAGACCTGACTCACGATTGAAGCGCTGGAGGATGAGGGTTTTTGGAACTCGGGACGAAAACTGGGTGATGCAAGAAGGGATTTCAGGATTGAACCGAAACATGAATCATCTAACTTTAACGACACTTCGGAGGGTCCCGACCCAGGAGAGCTTTTCAAGTATTTTGAACAAGTTTGCAAAAACATGAAGCGTTCCATTATAAGGCTCTCAGTGAAGGACGCTGTTATTCTTAATTTCGCTTTCATGTTGAGCTTTGTGATGAGATGGATTCATTGCATCGCATCTTGAACCTGGGTCGTTCTTATTTGCACGCAATTAAGAATTTAGCCGAGCAAAGGACATGACTCTCTTATGCTGCATATGCTGGTGGGAGACTAATTGCAAATGTTGTGAAGCTGTCTGAAGCCTATTGCTGGATTTATTAACCCTTTTGTTGTGTTGTTTTGTGGTTATTGTAAATAGGCTTTGCTGGGAAGATGCATGCACACACAACTCTGACGAAAGCGACCGAGTCATCAGGGATTTGAATCGCAGAACTGCACAGCTAGACATGTGAAGAAGAGAAAATCTATAAAACTGATTTGGAATCTAACATCAAATAAATAGTTACATAGTAGTAAGCTAACATGTTTTTAAATTTTTTTTTTTACGTTACTTCAGAAAATTTTATTATATTGTGAGAGAATTTTGTTGATTACAATACAATATTAGAACAAAATAAGCACGACTGTAAATTGGAAGGACTTTTTTTTAATTCAGAGGTTTGGTGGAGAACGTTAACAGCGTCATGAAGAAGAAAGAATACGGCAGGCAGGCCAGGAATATGCTGCAAAGAAGTTAATTTATTTAGATTATAGAACAATATAACAAAATTTTAAAATTTTTTTACCGGGCTATGTTAAGAGCAGCCCATGGTAACTTTGGAGGAGCAGCAGAGATTCACAGATCAAGTCCTGTTGACAGGACAGCTTTTGTACTATCTTGCATTGATCTTACACATAAAATTTCAATAAAACAAATTGTTTGTCGTATGGCAACACGTGAAAGTGATAATGTTTGCAAGACAATCTCCTTATCTAAAATCAAAGAAGTCCAACTTTCCGATCTCCTTGTTTTGAACTGGATTCTCCCCCTCTCGGCATGATGCTCGTGACCCAGGAGGATTCTTAATGAGTTTACTGCTTCGCCTGTTTCCTAACATCCAACACTTACCGCCATCTGTTGTGCTTAAGTACAACCCACCCTTAAGTCCAAATCTCATCACCTGATTTTCAAGTTACGCTGCTCTGCTCCACTCTCTTATCCCCTCGTCCTCCTCGGGGAGTCGGTGCCTTTGGAGTCGGGCTTTGTGGATGGAAAGGGTCCAATCTTTATGGAACGCTGGGTATTCAATCTTGTCTTTCCTCTCCACCTCCTTGATGATCTCTGCAGTCCTCTTTAGCTTTATCTTTCGGAGAGAAGCAACTATCTGCATCATCTCCCTCCCTCTGTAAATTGTTTTTCCACTTCTCCAGTGACTTGTTACACGCTATCGTGATTTACTGAGTGATGCTTCAGTGATTTTGTATCTCTTTGTTTAATCAAAAAGAAACTAACACAGGGGCAGAAGTATTAATGTCTTTTTCTCCACCTATGAGGAGCTGCTGTTTTTGTTTCGAGACAAAAGACGGGCAGACCTGTCCGTTTTTACAATCTCATGTGAAATGTTTATGTATTCTTGTGGCATAACATGTCGTATTAATAAAACAACATCATAACATATAGTATTAACCTTGTTAGGTTAATCCTGCCAGCATTAAATAACGGTAAAAGGCTTTTACATCATTGCGCTGTTTATTGAAGAACGTTGCTACTTTACAAGCTATCTGATGTTTATTCATGTTCTTACCAAGCCTCTAATGTCCCCTGGTGCACAGCCCATGCTCGAGTTCAGTGTTCCTATTTAAAATGTGTGGGTTTTACAGCTGCATTTACTAGTAAGAGCATTAAATAAATGTAATGCAGATGAAAGAGACTTATGTACAGCCAACGAAGCAGAAAACCAGCGCTGTTAAATTTATTTCAGAGCAAAGTTCAGCTTACTTTTTAAGGACACACTGACATGGCCAAATTTCTCAAGAAGGCACAGAATGAAATATGAGAAAAGCAAATTGTGAATTATTAGAGGTGAGTTTCTGCCATATGTTGGGTGAAACAAGTACTCAATACATCAATGTCAATATTTTTAACAGGACCATAAATGTGAAATTTACACCTGATGTCGACAAGAACCCAAATACTCAACACATACAACAACAAAAAACTGAGGAAATTTACTTCATAAATGAAATTGTGCTATAAAGTTGAATGGTACGGGGAATAAGTATTTAACACAGAAAGTATTGATTGACAGGAAGGCGTAGAAGGCTGTCAAGAAACCAGCTGGTATGTGTAAATCAATATCATTGGTATATTATTTGAAGGCATTCAATATGCTGAATTAAGTAGCAAATCTTGAAAGGTAAAATATGACCAGATATTTTAACTTGTATGAACAACACCGAGGACAACATATCAACAACTTAAAGATGCTAAAATATTCTTGAGGACAGTAAATGTCATGCCTACCTACATTATTTTCTACAAACCAAATTAAAACATGTCAGGCTTAATCTGCTGGTGTATGTCCAGTCAGATATCAGAGATGTAGGTGAATGGTTACTTGGGTTTTCCCAGCTTTAGCTGAACCTCTGGGGATTAGACCTCATTCTGGTGCTTTCAGGTGACTGGAGGAATTAGGCTGGTGCTGATAAAAGATTATAACGTTATGATAACTTTGAAAAATACTACTTTATTGTTGTACTGTACTTTAGAAACGAAGCTTTCAAACAAAACGTAATGAGTTAATCTCTTTGACTTTGCAAAACCAAATAGGGACTCCGACAGAAACATAAAAAGTCAAAGTTTCCAGGAATCTTTTTATGATGTTGAGACAGAAGGAGATCATATATTTCTATTTACTAAGATTTTACCCAGAAGCTTTTTAGCAGAAACTGCCTTTTTTATTTATTTATTTTTTTTTACTTTTTGTGTTGGATACTTTGAACAAGATGAAGATGGTAAATATCCATGTCTTTAATTAGGCTTCAGGATAATAATTGTTAAGATAGTTCCAGAAGAAGATCTGATGACAGGGATCCAAACTGACAAAGTTAGTTTCATCACAAGTTATAACAAACCTGAGTTGGAAACTACTATCAAACATTTCTGGGCATTCGTTACTTCTGTCCACTTCAGTTTCCTTAGAGGTTCTTCAATTCTTTCTGACTGCTGTGTGCAGTCCTCAGCGATGTACCTGAGGGCCTCATCGCTTTGACCAACTCTGTTTCAGTTGATGCCAAAAACTTAGAGAAACCAGGATATTTTGAGTAGTTCTAGTTTCAGGATTGTGACAGATGTTTGCTGTTTGTTGTGACACCTCCTTTTATTTTTCTGCTTACAGATGCTTGGCAATAAAAGCCTCGTCTGCTCTTCAACTCTGTTCTTCCCACCAGAGATCTGAGCAGCGGAGGCGAGGAAGACCAATGTCGAAACATTTGACAAAATGGAGCATCCCTTTTTTTAAATAACATCACTAGAATAATTAGATCTTTTGTTCATTCTGTTGTTGGAGCATCGATGTAAGATGAGAAGTGACAGCTTTAAGAAATTTGAAATCAGATCACAGTCTGTGGTTGTGTTTCTTATTAGAAGATTTCTACAAAAAAGTACATCAGTTCATCTTTGGTAATAGCTCCTTCAAGTCTCCTCTCTTCTCAGTTCTTTCCTCTTTTAAATCTATCCTAGGAATTGAGAAATCCCTCAAGATGCTGTGCTGGAATCGATTTCCAGGTCACAGACACACACACACACACACACACACACACACACACACACACACACACACACGGAAAAGAGCAAACAAGGTCACACAAAGCAGAGACACTGGAGGAGCTCTAAATCTCTGACAGTCAAAGTGGAGCTATCGGGGTTTCTTTATTCCCTCAACACTCTTTCTTGGCTTTAATAAAAAAAATATCCTAATGTAATAATTACCATTTCAGCAAAATTAATTAGAAGAAATATGATATCATTTCTGTCATGAGTCATGGTTGTGAGTAGGAAGGAAGGTTTTCTTTTTTTTTTACGAGCAGGAAAATAAGGAGTATCATGAAAAATTTAATTAACATGCTCATAAAATCCAGTCAGGATGACAAGCTGGTAACTAGTGGGTGCAGATAGTAAACAGGATGAGTATGACTGGCTGATGGATGAAAAAAAAACAAGCCCAATTTACATAATGGGATTACTGGATGAGTGACAAGTGTCCTGAGTACTAATGAATGGCAGGTGTGCTGGAACTGAAGCCTGAAGAAGACTAATGAAAGGGAATGACAAAAATGGACGAAACAAACTGAATTGGTATCAAATGCAAAAGCAAACGCAAACTAGAGAAAAAAGAAAAAAAACATTTGATTTGAGGTGAATTGCCACCTTGCTAATTTGCACCCTGCCCTGTATGAAGTCCTTGGCATTTCACCATTCCTCAGTTTTGTACTGTAAACAAAACATTGTGGACATTGTGGTTCTGCAACTTTTGGATGCATCTCTGCTTCAACAACACTGGATCTAAGCAATTTTTTTTTTTTTTTGTAGGACACTGTAAAAGTTTATGAGGCAATTTGGGCATTCAGTAGTTCGTTGGACCACAGTCAGACTTTAAAGTTTCAGTCCTCCATCCCTCGAGGACTGCAGTACGAAACCCCTGAGTTAAACTGTTGTATGTGACTTACAAGCATTTTTGTGATATTTTCATAATCTGAAGATATGCAGTCATAAAGTGCATCAAACTAAGCATAATTTAAGCTAAGTCATACCACAGTAGATAGAAACATAACGCTAACTAGTCCATATCTAATCATGTATCGTCACATATTAGTTCCACTAATTTTCTAAAAAACAAACAAAATATTGTCTATTTACCAACCCTGTAAATGTTATCGATGCGATGGATTGAATGTATTCAAGAAACAAAGCAATAATCTTCTGTAAAGCTGACAGCTGTAGTGTCAACCTTCTCCTGGACACAGTCTCAGGATCCTGCATACAAACTTCACTGGTGATTTAAAGACAGCAGATGGGACCCATCGATTGCTCTCCCCAGAACCCAACATTTGGCAGGAACTACACTTTCTCATTTTCTCTTTTTTTTACTGCCATACTTTACTCGCACGCATTTTACACATAACTTCTGCTTCACTTGGAGTTGTTTCTCCTCCCATTCCCCCTCCATTATGTTTGAAATTCAACGCTTGTTTCACTTTTAAGGGGTCTGCTTAGAGGCTTGGATGGCAATCAGCATTTGGAGGGAATGCGATGCGTTCATGGAACCTCGGGTATGTTGCTGGGATCTAACGCCATCGTATCTGATGCCACAGAAGACTGAGATGCAGCACAAGTGGCAGTAGTGTAAAAGTTTGTCAAAACATCTGAGTCTTTTAGTGGCTCGTCAAAGTTTTGCGTTCTTATAAAAACTCATTGTGCTTAATTACATACCTATATAATACATAATATCTGACAGCAGTTTGGGTGATCTGTAGGAAAAAAGAAACTGTGAGAGTGTAACTGATAAAATATTAGAAACTTAATCATTTAGAAAACATCACATTAAAAAAAACTATAAGAGGCTGTATGGGGAACACTTATAGACACAATACATTGGTGTATTTTCCCGTGAGAAAGCACAATGGAGGGACAGAGACAGAAACACAGGGACAATAACAGCTTCAATGAACTCAAGGAAAATATGGTTGCTGTCTTTACCAGGAACTCTTTCCTCCTGATTTTGTTGTGTCTTATTGTTTTATGAACCTATTTGATTATTGTTTTTAATCTGTGAAGAGCAGTATATATTTAAGCTTTAGCCTACATACTGCACTTAATGCAGGTAGTAAACTGAATAATAAATTGAATAAATTTAACAGTATGACCACATAAGTTTAATGATGTAGCGTCCTTCCTTTAGAGTACACAATTCAAACTGACATGTAAAAAGGCAATAAAAACAGCAGGAGCATTTAAGAAGTCTTGCTCTGTTGTTCGTGTGGTTAATGAGATTCGACTGTGGTACTTTTAGCTGACAGATATTTGGAATAAACCCATGTTTTAACCTTAACAAAGTACAGCTGCTAGTTTGTCATTTTTTATTTCAGGAAATGTAACCAATGTAGCCTGACCTAATCTAAGAGCGAGTTAAATTGACTCAGAAGTCAAGACTAATCTTTTTTTTTTTTTTTTTTTCTCCGACTGTGTCTTTACTTTTGTTGCCCTCCACCCTAAACCCCTTTTCCAAGAATCTGAACTTTCCCATCAAACTCTTTTTTGTTTGTTTGTTTTGTTTTCTAGTTTATGGTTCACCATAAAAATATTCTGAATTACTTTCACGTTTTTGTTCATTTATCATATTGTAAATGATCATGTGTGAAATTAACATAACACAGAAGACGTGATGTCTTCTGTTTAACAAGACAGACACATAAACTGTATTTCATAACATCTAAAAGCCCCAGAAAGCAAATACTTCAACATGTTCATTAACAGAAAAGAAAACTTACCATCAAGGGATCTGGCATGAGTTTTTCTTTGTTGTTGTATTGGTTTTTAAACTTTAATTGAAAAATTAAAGTACAGCATTTATTATCTTTGAAGCCATACAATTGAAATACATTCAGGTCCTCTGTAGATAAATTTGGGCTCTCCTCTTTAATAAAATATCCATTCTGTTTCAACACATTAGCTGACAAAATCCACAATTGTGTAAATTAACTGTATTTTATTATTATTATTGTCTGCTTTTTTTAATAAAGCAAACTCACCCACAAATGCTGCATATTTGAACCGGCTCCAACGGCAGGACTGTCCAATCTATTTTCTGATTAATTTTGCTTATAAATATCTTCATATCTTCACACAGACAGAGGGAAATGCGAAAGAAGTATAATTACTTTGTTGTGAGACAGTAGATTAATGTTTATTTTTCACCTGGAATCTGAATACACAGACACACACACACACACACACACACACACACACACTGTACCAATAAAAAGTTTTATTAAAAATCATGCATAGACTTTATAGATGCAATGGAACTTTAAGTTTCTAATATGTTATTAATTTTTTCAACATTAGATCTACTTATAACTTGGTTTTATATAGTCCAGGATACTGTGCAGGATAAAAAAATAAAAAGCGGTGTGACAGCAGCTTTAATGTGGCTATTTAAGCCTTTTGCGATATTTTCACCTCTGCCATAGATCTCAATGATACAAGTTTAGTATTTTAATTGCCAGCTGGTGTCTGGATCAAAAAAAGCTTTTAAAGTCTGACAAATACGTCGGGTTACAGCAAGCAGAGGTTTTGTTACGCTTTATTATCAACCAGGAGTGGAGTCAGGTGGTGGGTCAGATACAAATCACTAAGGCAATACTTACTGCAGACAGCACGGAAAGCAATTTTACCTTGGGTGGTGGAGATAGAGGAATTGTAGGAGTTAAAAAGATGAGGGATAGTGGAGGAAGGTCGTGTGCTAAGAATAGTGGGAAGAAAATGATGGGGTGTCTGTAGAGAGGGAGATTTAAAGAAATGCTGAGAGACGGTTTGACATGCTCGTCTGACAGAAAACGTTGCTTAGAGGAGATGGAAGTGAGGAGCCATGGTTGTAAGAGACCTCATCTTCAGCAGAAACTGCAAATTCAAGACAGAGGAGCTGGTATAAAATCTTTATGACAGCAGGTGTCATTCCTGTAGAAGCATCATTGACAGAAACAAAGTAAGCCACCTGTCTTCAGGGAATTTGTACTTCTGTTAATGTAGAAATCAGATGTAGGAGGAAAAAAATAGATAAGCCTCATTTTCCTTTCAAGCATTGCCTCACCAATGCAAACAGGTTGCTATATATTTTTCAGTCCCTCGTCTGGCAGCGCAGAGTTAAATGATTCAGGTGCCCAAACCGTGATCGAGAAAACGCCTCTTGCCAAAGAAGTTTGCACAGGTGTACAGCCAGCTGGCAGAGACTACAGTTAATGTGCTTAAAGGCAGAAAATTCAAGTAGGTACTCAAAAAGAATCATTTCCCCCTATATCAGCTTGAGACTAACAGCTTCAAGCCAAACTCAAGTTTCAGATAATACCTGCTGGTAGCTTGTGTTGGATCTTCTCTAAAGGTAGATTAATGTTTTGGGACTTATCTGAATATGCAGAGAAAACAATCTAAACTATATTTTTAATTTACGTGTTCTGAAAGCCTAAACAACATGAGTCTGTAGTCAATGCCTTTATGGCCACAGTGTTTCCATCTTCATAAGACTACTTTCAGCAATAATTATGCACCATGCCACAAGCTCAACTCATCTGAACATAACAATACATGTGAGCACTGAACTTCAGTGGAGTCACCAGATCTCAACACAACAAAACACTTTGAGATGTGGTAGAACAGGAGAACAGGTAGAACACATTTCCATCAGGTCAGTATGGGCCAATTCCCTGGTAAATATTTAGGCCTTGGCAAATAGCTAAACTACTATATATATACATATATCATCAATATATATAATGAATAATCACAGTTCATATTGGTTTAATCGCTTAGTACAGATGTGATTAGGGTATTATGACAATA